ACGACCTGAGGCCCAAACCTGGCGGGCGCAAGCCTGAAAAATAACGGCCGCGGCGCCCTCTGGAGAACCGAAAACGGACAATTCACTAATCGACGTGTCACTGTTGGGGGTTCTGTCCACCCCCGACGATTCCAGGTCGCCGGCGGCGTTCAAGGTCAAAAACGCCAGCGGCGGGGTCGCCGCCAGTCGACACGGCGCGAACGTGCCGCAGAGGGGGTTCGGAGGACCGCACCGCCTCGCCGATGCATCACCGATCCACCGGCGGTGCCACGACGACGCAACGGCGATGCCTCGGCGACGCGTCGGCGACGTCGGCGTGAAGAAAATCGGGCTCCGTCGAGCCGCATTGCCGCTGCATCGTCGAGGCTGAGCGACCCTCCCACCCCACCTGCTCGGACCCCATCCAGGAGGCCTAGATAAAAATGGGGGGTGGAGAGAAGGGCCACTGTGGGGCCGGCAGGGGCCCAAACGGGGTCCCAAAGAAGCCCCTTTGAGGACACTTCTCGTCACCCCCCACTCGGGTCACCCCCACATTACCACCCGCCCGGCATGTGGGCGTTGCTCCACCCGGCACGGCGGGTTCGTGCGGCGACGGCGCGCGCGAAAAAGTTTGTGACGCCGCGTCGATCGTTCAGCCTTGAATCGATCGCGGCCCTGATCGTTCGAGGTTGAATTCTGCCGGGTCCAGTGGCGCTGCTGTGTCCATCAGTGCTTCCGCGTCGCAGAAATCAACCTTGAACGCCTTTGCCGGCGTCGCCGGCGCGCCATCGCCGCGTGAACCTACCGTAGGGTCGTTCATGCTAACCGGGACCCGCCCCCCTGCTGGCAATGAAACTCGTCCTTCCCTCACTCAGGCGGCCTTCTGGGGCCCTCAACGATGACGGTGACGGCGGCGACGACGACGGCGGATGCCCTAGCGGGGAGGGGGGGGGAACGTGCACCCTCGTGCCTTTTTGGGGGCCCCAGGGGGCCCCCTGAAGGCCCCTTTAGGGTACAAGAGGTGGACCTTTTTCTCAACCCCTGGGTTACCGCCATCCCATTGCGCAACGCCCACCCACGGGGTGGTCGGCACAGGCCGGGCAATGGTAGAGGCCTCCCGGATGGGGTCCGAGAAGATGCCGTCGGAGAATGGCGCCACATGGCCGATGCATCGGCGACGTCGGCGTGGAGAAAGTCCAGCTCCACATCGAGCCCTCCGATGCCATCTACTCGGACCCCAGCCGGAAGGCCGGTGGCGAGCCTGGGGGGCCTTCTCAAAGGCAGTGGGACTTCTCAGAAGCCCTGGGGCCTTCTGGGAAGCCGCCTGTCTTCGGAGAAGGCCTACCCCCTGGCACTGACCCCCGGGCTCGCCACCGATAGGAGCAGGGGGAAGAGGATGGGAACGAAAAGAGAGGAAACGCAATCAAAGCAACCACTGCAGGCGTTGCGAGTCTTGACGGGGCGTCCACACACGCCCACGGTACTGGAGGCATTGGCGGGGGGGTCGTGAGATGGAAGCGCGTCTGGGTTCCAGACTTCTCGCAGGCGGCATAGATGTCGTAGCTGTCGCTAACAACCTCAGGTCATGCTTGGCCAGATCAACCCTCTTTGATCCACGAAAACACTACAAGGAGAAGGCCGAACGCCGTTCGGCCTTCTCCTTTCATTGTCTTCACGGTCCCCTCGTCCAATGTAAAGAAGGCAGAGGGCGATGAGGACGAGGAGGGCGAGGACTGGAGAAAGGACGGGGAGAGGAGGGCAGGACGAGGAACACCAGCACCCGAACATTACGACGAAGGGATGGAGGATATGGACGAGACAAGGCGCACAAAAGGTACTGTGCAGGGGGGCCGTGTGTATCGTGCCTACTCTGCGCCTCCTCCTTCTCCTGCGTGAGCACGGGCGCGCGGATCTGGTCGGAAGAGCATCCACGAGAGCCCCGCACAAGACGCACAACGTCCCCCGCAGAAGACTCGCGCGAGCACGCTTTTTTGCAGTCAGCACAGAAGGAGGGGGAGAGGGGTGGACGACGGCGGGGACCAGGACGACATCGAGGAAGAGGATGACGACGTCGGCGGCGCCGACGCCGAGGTCTCAAGAGGCCATGGGAGCGGAAGAGGCGAGAATGCAACACTCATTGTTGTTCACGTGTTTCCATGTGAGGTGGCCTCCCACGGGGCGCCCCGAAGCCTCTCAAGGTCAGAGCTAGAACGAGAGAAGAGAGAGAGAGAGAGAGAACAAGAGAGAGAGAGAGAGAAAAAAAAAAAGGAGAGAGAGAGAGAGAGAGACCATTTCAAGTTCGCTCGCCCTGGAAAGATCCCAGGCGGGGGCGGGGCGGACAGGACGGACGCTGCTGCTCTGCGCCCGTGCCCTGCCGCGCGCGGCCGCTGGCCGCGCACCCCGCAGGCGACAGCGGGGGCCGCGGCGGCGGGGCGCCGAGAGGGCTGCCCGCTCGCCGCTCAAAATTCGGACGCAGCGTGCACACCGGGAGCAAACTTCGCGTCGCCTCGGCGAGGCACCTGTGCCGAGGAGCGGCTCTTTCGGCCTGGCCCAGCTCGTGGCGTCTGGCCATCGCGCGCTGAAAACATGCCAGGACCGTGCGGGTGCACCTTCCCTCGTCTCCTTCCTCTCCTCGTCCTCCGTGGCACTGCTCTCTTTGTCGCTGTGCTCCCCGTTGTCCTCGCGAGCCGTACTCTCTTCCTCCTGGTCGTGGTTTTGCTCTTGTCATGTTTCTCCCGTGGCCTCGTGCCCTTTCCTGGTGTCTTATCCATCTCGGGCTCCCTTCGCGGTAGTGGTGTAGATGGCCCGCGGCTGCCCGCAGACGTGGGCGTCGGAATAATACACGGGGGTGGGTCTGGATCTGGCCCTCCTCGATTTCTGTGGACGTCCGGAACAACAACTCAAGTTCATCTACTCGCGCATGTTCTCCACCAATGAATTTGTCTATGGTTCTGTGAATGGTTTCATCTCGGGCTGCCCGCAGCAGGTCTCCTCAGACAAGGCTGCCTCGATACGCTACTCCACATTTCACACTCTGACCATCAGAGCGCTCATTTGCTCGAAGATCTAACACAACCTCAAACTAACATCAACATGGTAACCAACTGTAGCATCATGTCTGCGACGACTACGGGCAGGCCACACTGAGGATCGCACATTATCGTCACTAATCGTGCTAGCGTGGTGAGGTGCCACTATGCTTGATACATCTTGCCTTCAGCCTTGAGCCTTGAGCCTTGAGCCTCGTCCTGAGCCGCTTAAGCCAAAAAAAAAGAGTCTCAACTCTGCGCCCCCCCCTGGAAAAAGTTCCGGAGGCTCCCTCCGGAACCGGGGTGGCACACGCCACCATCGGCCACGCTACCGGGACACGGTCCCGAGGATCCTCGCCGTGCTGCTCGCTGTCATGCTGCTGGCGGCCACCGCGCTGCGCACGCATGGCTGCCCAAATCCCCAAATCCTCCCGCTGAGCCCCGTGATGCTATTATTCTTGAGTCGGGCCTGTCCCCCTACAGGGGGATTTTCGACGAAGAATTAAAAATACCCCGAAAATCGCAAAAAAAATATCCAAAAATAATCAGGGGATTATTTTTGGAATATTTGTTTGCCTTTTAAAGGTATTTTCATTTGTCGTCGAAAATCCCTCTGTAGGGGGACACGCCCGACATGCTATTCAGCGCCGAACTGGTGGAGCCCGCGAGCCCCCCGTGTGGCTCTCGGGCGGCTCCCGCCGCCCCGGGTGGGCCCCCCCCTGACGGCGGAGCCCGTGCTGTCCCGGACGAGGGCCGCCCTCTGGACAGCAGAGCACGCCGGGAGCCCAAGCGGAGGCCTCTGGCGGTGCGTGCCGGCGTGGCGTCCAAACATGTGGTACAAGCGTCGGACTGTGTATATATATATATATATATATGTATATACAGATGCAAATGTACATATACGTGTGTATATATACATACATATGACTGTATTTGCATATAGATATACATTCATGCGTAAAAAATATCATCAAATAGTCAAACGTCTAAACACATATGTTTACATTACATATGTCGGGGATGGACAGACCCCCCTTTAGTAAAACGTGGTTTAGCGAAAACGACCTGAGGCCCAAACCTGGCAGGCGCAAGCCTGGAAAATAACGGCCACGGCGCCCTCTCGAGAACCGAAAACGGACAATCCACTAATCGACGTGTCACTGTTGGGGGTTCTGTCCACCCCCGAATATGGATATACATATATATATATATATATATATATATATATATATATCGATGCCCAGGCGGTATGAGCAGAAAGCGCCCGCCGAAGAGCATGTGCTGTAGGGTTTCTGGGCGCGAGCGTCGCCCCCGAGGGGCCGACTTATACACGCACACACACACACACACACTGTGCAAGTCTGCTTTTGTCGGTGATGCCGATCTGCAGCCACGTGATCTCGACCAGGGCTGTCCGATACCCCAGCGGCGATCGGACCCCTAGGGGTAGAGCTGGGAGCAACGTTAGGGGGGACCACAGCTCCGGGGGTGGGGGGGATACCAAGCTTGAACCGACGATGCATCGCTGAGAGATCAGCGATATGGCGGAGCAGCAGTCCTGGGCGGGGCGGGCTATCGGGCCCCTATCGGCGATCAGTGGGCGGGGGGGGTTCGATGTGTCCCCTGCTGGTTTCCCCCTGGGGCCGTAGGCGACCCGAGGAGGAGGTGGAGGGGAGGGAGAGGAGGAGATGGAGGAGGAGGGAGGAGGGAGGAGGGTAGGTAGGAGGAGGAGGAGGAGGAGGAGGAGGAGGAGGAGGAGGAGGAGGGAGGAGGAGGAGGAGGAGGAGGAGGAGGAGGAGGGGAGGGAGGAGGGAGGAGGAGGGAGGAGGAGGAGGAGGAGGAGGAGGAGGAGGAGGAGGAGGAGGAGGAGGACGGGTCGCCTGAGCCCTTGGGAGAAACCCTCCAGCGTCCCCCCTGAGCCTATCCCCCTTTTCACGTTGCCCCCCAAGGGTTCGGCAGCGGCCGCGGGGGATGGGCAGCCGGGCCCGCGGCCGCAACGACGCCGCCCTCGAACTTCGTCAGCATGTTCTCGAAAGCGGCGCCCTCGTTCTCCTCGAGCCGCGGAGCGGCGGGGGTGCAGAGGTCGGCTACACGCAAGAGTGGCCCTGGGCAAGAGCGAGCTGTGGTGCGCGGACTGCGGGGGCGCGGGGAGGCCGGATCCGAGCGCGCCATCGGCCGCTGCCGCACCGGGCTCGGCCATCGGGGGGACCCCGACGAGCCCGCACCGGAGGTCACTCCGGCGAAGGGTCACTCCATATTGGGTCTAGTCGATGACGCGGGCACGGGTCTGTCGTCGGTCCCGGCGCAAACTCTTGGATTTCGCGCTCGGCACCCTCTCCCCAGCGTCAGGTCGGGCGTGTCCCCCTGCAGGCGGACCCTGGACGAACAATAAGAAACGGTCGACAAATATTCCAACAGGCAGGAAGATGCACCAGAATATCCTTTGAATACCGTGTGCTGACTGTCTTTGAATATCCCCCCTGCAGAGAGACAGGCCCGACTCGACGCGCGCGTGGGGTTCGCGCCAGGCGCCGGGCGGGGACGCATCGACCCCCGCCGCCTGCAGAGCCGACGCCCCGGGAGGGGGGCGGTAGATACTACGGAGAGGCCCCTGGGCCCCAGAACGGCCCCCCGAGAGAGACCTCAGAGCTGATTCCAAGAGGCCCCCCGCCTCCGCCGCCGCCGCCGCCGCCTCCTCCTCCTCCGAGGAGGAGGAGGAGGAGGAGGAGGAGGCCCCCCACGAGCAGCGAACACCTGCGAGGCTCACCGCCCACAGCCCAGGCACGGCGGCGGGACTGGTAATGGGCAGGTGGACACAGTTCCACCGTCCCTTGAGGGCGCGAATGGTTTCGAGCGGTTCCTCTTCCAACTGCCTTCTTCCCCTTCTGGGATGGGGCTGATCATTGCTCCTTCTGAATAAACATCCCACCCACTCGACTGTAGACCAACCCGGGACGTGCCCCCCCCCACCCCACCATCCCTCTCAAAAAAGAATACAACATGCACTCTGCCTCCAACACTCGAGCATGCGCGGGCACCCCGCGACCACTCTGCAGTGGTTTTTGACAGGGACGGCGGTGGTGCCAGCATGCTGCTTGTGGCGCACAAGTTGCGCACAGGCTGACAGTCCCTCTCAAAAAACATTAGAGAATGCACTTTGCCTCCAAATCCGGCGCATGCGCGGGCGCCCCGCGACCACTCGGCGGGCGCCCCGCGAACACTCTGCATGGGTGTTCGACAAGGATGGAGGGGTTGCTGGCAAATTGCTTGATGCGCGCAAGCCAACCATCCTTCAAAAAGCCATACAGGATCCACCCGGTGACGGCTGTGCAATGGCGCACCTCGCACGCACTGCGCGCGCCGAGCGCGTGGCGCACATGGCGCGGCCGGAGCACGTGGCGCACTTGGCGCTCGTGGAGCACGTGCCGCTCCTGCCGCGCCTCGCACGCTTGGGCCTCCAGGGTGCCTGGTGCACCTGAACCCGTGGCGCACATGGCGTGCGTGGCGCTCCTCGGCGATGTGCTGAGACTCGGGTATTACTTTTAGGTCGGGCATGCCCCCCTACAGGCGGATTTTGGACGCAAAATAAAAAGTAATCAACAATACTCAAGAATTATAAAACAAATTCTCCAAAAATCGTCCTCAGGACTATTTCTTGCTTATTTTTGGATACTCCTCCTGTAGAGGGACAGGTCCGACTAAATATGACTTTCAGAAGACGCTCCTGGGAGCCTTTCGTAATCACCTGGGTGGCCGCAGTGGCTCCTCCAATGGCCACCATTGAGCCCCAGCGGCCCCCAGCGAGCTTAGAGCCGCCTCCAATGTCTCCTCCAATGCCCCCCCCGCGGCCTCCAATGGCCTCCAGTGGCCTCCCGTAGCCCCCAGTGGCCTCCAGTGGCCCGAGCAAACGACTGCGGACCACTGAAGGCGCAGGAAAGCCATGCCAACTGACAATAAGAGGCTCCCAGGATCGTCTTCGGAACCAAATCGTTCCACATCGAACGACTCTGGGTCGCCCGCGGCGTTCAAAAATGAACGCAAAAATGAACGCCGCTGGCGGGGTCGCCGCCGGTCGACACGAGCCAAACCTACCGTACCCCCTCCCCTCGAACTGGACGGAGTTTTCTGCGACCGGCTGGGGCGTCCAGGGAGGCCTCGGCGATAAGGCACACATCCTTGATTCTACTTCGACTTGGGGCACAGCGGGGGGGGCTCCTCTGATTGAGGAGCCCGCATTCTTTGATCGATCTCCTCCAAGGTGGCCCCCAAGGCTCCCAAGGGTGCCCCGACACGGCCCCAAGAGGCGCCCAGGAGGGCCCAAGACACCCCGAGAGGTCCCCAAGAGTCCCTCAGTGACCCCCAACAGGCCCCAAGAGGCTCTCCCGAAGCACCCAAAACGCTCCACAATGCCCCTGGGACCACCAAGAGGACCCCAAGAGGTCTTGAGAGGTTCTTGAGAGGTTTCTCGGGATGTCTCTTGAGGTCCGTGGGGACCCAGGAGGACCCCAAGAACCTCTCAAGAGACATCCGAAGAGACTCCGAGAGACATCCAAGAGGCCTCTGGCCTTTCTGCTCGCCCTCCTCCTCCTTTTCCTCATCCGACCTGGTTGTCAAAGATGGAGCCCAGAGTCTGATTAGACCGACAGCTGCCCATTTCGTGGCAACGGAGCTTGAGCACGGACCGACCGTCCCAGCGTTCCTTCAGTCCTACCACGAAATGTTCTTAGAACCTAAGAGTGTTCTAATAACACAATCAATGTTATTATAACATAAGCCCGATGTGTTAAAACAAAACAGTCGCAGCCAGAAATGTTCTAAGAACATTTCGTGGGAAGTACGACAGGTTCTTAGAACATTGTTTGGCAGGACTATGGGCACGCCAAGACGCTTCGCCACTGCTTGATGAACATAAGCAATCCCTCCCGGCATGCTTCTCGACACACGTTGGTCGGGAGCGGCCAAAAGGGGGGTGTCCAAGAGGGGGGGTGCAAATCATGACCGGCGGCATGTGCGCGGCCCAGCGGGGGGGCCGGGAACGTAATGAAATAAGAAGAGGCGCCATGAAATCTGGGGAAATATCATGGCACCCGCCATGAGATCCACCCCCCCCTGGTCATCACCCCCCTCTTCGCCGTCCCCGAGTTGGCCGCACTCTCGCTTCTCTTGGCCAGGACCCCACGTGGCCCTCTCGCAGGAAGCGCAGGAAACTCCCCTAAAACAGGGCTAGGATCGGGATAAATCGCTCCAGAGCGTTCCGGAGCGCTCTCAGAGCGTTCCGGAACGCTCGGGAGCGGCCGCGGCGCCCAATACATCCTCCAAACCCGCCGATTCTCAGAGATTTCGAGTTATCCCTGATCTTCCAGAGAGCTATTTTTTAGCACGGGAGGCCTAAAAACCTAAAAAACTGAACGAAACAGCCTAAAACCAAGACATAGAATAGCTTTGGGAGAGGTTTTTAAGTCGCGTGCTATTTTTTAGCCCTCCTGGAAGGTCAGGGATCTCGATCCGATTTTGTCCCGATCTTCGCGTCGCTTGATCTCTGCCCCCGGTGCGGCTTCGCAGGGAAGGCCTCCGAGGCCCGTGGTCGCAATTGCCTTGCAGCCGGCCGCCGGGCTCCCCGCGCCGCCCCGGCAGGGAAGAAAGGGGGCCCGGGACCCGGACCTTCCAGGAGGGCCAAAACATAGCACGCGACTTAAAAACCTATCCCAGAGCTATCCTATGTCTCGGTTTTAGGCTGTTTCGCTATGTTTTTTAGGTTTTTAGGCCTCCCGTGCTGAAAAATAGCTCTCTGGAAGGTCAGGGGAGGTGCCGAGAGGCCGGCCGACGGCCGCTTCACTTGCACGGTGCCCGTCGGCTGCGGCGCGGGGCCCGCCCCCCCAAAACGTGCCCCCGCTCGGCGGCGGGCCCCGGGGGGGGGGGAGGGAGGATCGAAGGGGCGGGCCCTCTCACAGAAGGCTCGGGAATCCCCGGGCCTTCCGAGGAAAAAGTCTTCTGAGCCTTCCCCGAAGAGAAAGAACATAGATTGGAAGGCGCGCAGGCTTCTGAGGAGTCCTGCAACCTTCTGAGAAGGCCTTCTCCTTCTCATGTCCACCCCTCGCTCGCCGCCGACCCGTCTCCCTTCTCCGCCACCCCTCTTGTCGCGGCTGGGGGTGATCGTGGGAGGCATTCTTCCAGGCGCAGCTTCGGTCACCCAGGCTCCAAGAAGTTGCCCGTCCCAGTGCGTGCGCCGAGCCACCGTTGCAAGTGGTGCTCCACTTTCTGGTGGTGGCGCACCTCCTATGCCAGGTGCAAGCACTAAGCCCTGCCTCAGCACGCAGCCTGCCCTGGACCCAACGCAATTTTCAAAGTAATCGCTGAGGACCCCCAAGAGCACGGAATGCAATTAGAAGAAACGACTGCGTAAACATACATGTTCGGAGGTCCGCGCGGGCTTCTAACAACGGCGCCGGCGCTTCTTAAAAGTTTCTATGTCTGCAGTCATTTCTCATAGCCGGTCATGATGAGGACTCCCTCATCCTCATGCGCTGCAGGCGTGGTGCCAGTTCCAGGGCCAGCTGGGGGCCCAGTGGTAACTAGTTCGACGGTGCCACATTGGATCTGACGCACACGGCTTGAAATAGCATGGGGGGTTATACTCACAGACAGGCCCCATGCCAAAACACTAATGTTAAGTCGGGCCTGTCCCCCTACAGGGGGATTTTCGACGAAAAAGAAAAAATACCCAAAGAATACACCGAAAAGGTCAAAAAATGCTAAAAAAATAGTCCCCAGACTATTTTTGGATTCTGTTTTGATTATGTTTGGACTATTTTGGGTTAAAACAGCAATTTTCGCCGAAAATCCCCCTGTAGGGGGACAGGCCCGACTTAACACTAATGACGTTCCTCATAGACGCACGGGTCTTTCGCCCTGGTCTCGACTTGAAGGTACGTGGCGCTCCTCCTCCACCTCCTCGTCCTCTCAAGGCTTGCCAAGCCGTTGACAGGGCAATC